CATCGAGACACCGGCAACGCACCGTCCGCCATATTGCCCGTCCCTTTCCCAGTTGGAATGCACGATCCTGTCTCGTGGCCACCGATAATCGGGTTATGACACGAATTTCGATGCTCGTTTCGGCGCGTTCCGGCGACCTGGGCATTGCACGTTTCCAGTGGTGCACAAACGGGGTACGTTTGCACGTACCGCGACACCCCACTGCGGCACCGCGGTGGAGTGTCGGGGTGGTTTGATATTTGATGTTTGACTTTGATGTTTGATGTTTGATTTTCGGACACGGTCACAAATTTAACGAGGTGATGCGATTCTTGAGGTGTAGCTTGTGCATGAAAGACTAACGGACGTTACAAAAAGTGGCATAGATTAGAGAGTCATCATTGCACGGTGCGCAACGTTCTGTTTTTGATATGTTCATTTTTAGAATTGCGTGTCCTAAAATTTCAATCGTTTTGTGCTTTGATTATTGGGAAACATTCTTTTGTGACTGCGATGCGGCCTATCTGACCCCATTTTACTTGAAGCGAGTCTAGCTGTTCTTTTGTTACTTTCAGCTGCTTACCCGAAATTTTGGTGGTGCGGTGGGGGCACGTGCTAACATAACCGATTCATGCATCGCACTCGGCAGCGCGTGGCCAGCTGGACACTCGAATAAACATGTGCGCTAGTGAGTTACATGCTTTTGCCCCAGCCACACTGTGTTGGCTTGCGACACCACGCCCCCAGACTGCTGAATGTCCATTCACACGTCTAATATTTGCCATCGGATATGTGGCATACGCACCACGCGAATGACTTCGCCGATGAAGCTAACAGCGCTTGTGCGTGACCAGGGGCCCGCCAGCGCGTGGTCAGGAGCAACAAAGACATGAGTACGAGCTCCAGTGAGATTCCATGTTCTCGTCTCAGCCGAATCACTTCTGTCACGGCTTTAGCCATGAATTATGACCCTTGATTGCCAAATGTCCAGTGACACCTCTAAGCACCCGCCTTAAGAAGGATCGCAGGTTTGATGTTTGATGTTTTGTTCGATGATGGACATGACGCAGTACATAATATGACGTGTGGACTGGTGCATAAACAGAACGCTTAAATCTGGGCGCCTCTTCTAACAATAACAAGATATGGTCATCGCCGCCAGGGAACCCACGACACACCGCCCACTAGTCAGATTTGTGAGCCGAGACGGGCCAGGCGCCCGCCGCCACTCCGGTTTACACATATAGCCGTCCCGGACCGGCGGGGGGACGCCTGGCCCTGCAACGCCACACAGTGGCCCGTCTGCTGCCCGCCGCCCGCAGAAAGTTTTTAGGCGAATCGTTTGGTCTGAAAAGAAATGCTTGAATTTTTTGCTATCTGGTGCCCAGTGCGATCTTGCAAGCCGTTACGTCTGAAATAGATACTTTGTTGCTCGTTGTGAGTGAGCTCGGAAAAAGTTGGAATAATACGATCTGTTTGTGCGTCGTATCAAAATTCTGATTTCATGATAGCGAGGGCAGTTCAATACAACGTGCTAAGGGTCTTCATATGGACAGCCACACGCAAGAGGGACTAGGTGTTGTTGGACTTTGAATTTCGAACAGGTGAGCATTGAGTTCTGATACTCCTTATCTCAGGCTAACATTTAGTAGGATGTTATCGTGCCTGGATCCAAAACTATGATACACCGGAGACGCAGCCACACCGCAGCGCTGGTATACTCCCCGTTTGAAGGAACGAAAAGACTATATAAGTGACACCTCAAGCGGGAGTTGGTTCCATTTTCTCGTAGTTGATGGAATGTAGTATTCTTAGTATGTTGGGGTTCTGTTCGGTGGTGATGTGTCTTTGCAGTGCGTAGTGGGTGTCCTGTTGCAAGTGTTCGTGTGTCAGGTAGAAGTGCAGTGACGTTTGTTGGCAGTTGACGTTGGTTGTGGATGAGGGTGTGGAACAGCGTCAGTTTGTGTATGTTTCCTCGTGACTTGAGCGTTCCGTCCCAAATCGTCCAAAAGTGCGCATGTGTGTGTTCTGTGGAGTGCACCATTGATTAGTCTTGCCGAAACGCAACAGCCATATTGCCGGGTCGCAAAGTGGCAGGTGCGATTCGTCGTAAACACCACTAGACATCAGTGATCCGACTTCTGACACGCGATACGACGATTTCTGTCAATTTCGAAATTTGTGCTACCTGCGTTGAACCGATGGGACACGGTTGCGCTGGCCGGTGGCGCACCGTCGGCTGGATACGGTCCCAAATGATATGCGATGCATTATCCCACTGGCCCAGTCGCACACCTAACATCACGTGAAGCTCCTGTTTTTGTGGACGCCTCACGGTATCATGTTAAAAAAGAAACACAAATGGATCGAGTGTTTAGGTTACGTGGGTCGACACCATGCACAAATCAGCTAGTCGGGGCCGCGCCGGTCGTGGATCGCCATGCAGCGTTCCCCAAAAAAACATCGTCACTGAGAAGCCAAAAACGCTTGGAACATTTTGGTGGCAAAAGACACGCAATGGATGCCCAGAGGCTACCAAAAAATTGGGCGTGATTGCATGACACGCCAGAGAGGTATGCTCAGAAAATCTCATGTGGTGGGGTCGTATCGACGCCCTAACAGGGGAAGGGTCATCACGTGAACATTTCGCAAGAGCCGGAGCCCCGTTTGAATACACCACTGCCCACTTCGGATGGTAAACGGAACCGGAGCGCTGTGTTGGATCTACTCCGGAGCTCCGCTTGGCCGACCGAACTGTTGACTTAGGCGCCGTGTTTGCCAGACGAAGCATACCGGGCGTCACGTAACGACACCACGCAAGAGGCCCGTTCGTCAGCAGTCGGTGTAAGTTCATTTCCAGCCTGCCAGTCAGCCCGCCCGGCGGCCGGTAATTTACCGACACCAGAGTTACCTGTCCGATATTGCTCCGTCGCTGATGAGACAGGTCCGGAAATTGAGGTCTATATTTGGAAAGTGACGGGTCTGTGACGTATTTCATGCAAACCCGGTAATGTCCGTGCCCTCCACGGCAGGAGTGTCGCCCACGTCCCCTTCTTCGGCGACGAAAGAGAAAAGGAGGCAGTAGTTGCGCTTTGTTTTCTTCAGTTGACAACCCCAGCCCCCGTGCAGTGCGACTCTAGAGTAATCACCCGCACCTCAGGACTCGGGCTGTCAACCGGCTGGTTTGCGGCCGGGTGGCCGGGACTAGCACTGCTGCGTCGGTCGTGCTGGTCCGGTTTGAAACATCGGTGCCGGCATCGAGGTGATGCCGGCCCGGACTGACAGACAGGGAAGCGCGTCCGGAGGGGGACGTATCACGAATGGTAAAGAACACTGCGCTGTCAGGTTGCACACCATCTATTATCGGTATGGATCGGTTCGAATACACCATTTGACAGCAGCAAACATCTGGCCTAGTTATGGTAGTTCAATACGCCATTAGCGACCAAACAACAGCTCTACTAGCAACCGTTCTGTAGTAGGCATGTCACTCATATCATTACCCAGCACTAAACAGTGCAGCGAAACTATGGAGACACACAGTTCTCACACGACGCACAATGTCATACACACAACACACCCGTCAGGCGCCACCTATTGGTGACCCACACAACGAGGTGTTGACCCCGTGCTGCTACACCACCCCTCCCGGACATGTTAACAATCGGAAGGTGACATGTCGAGCGCCCCGCACGCACTGGGGGCACCACTTCGCGGCCGTCGTAGCGCGTACAGACGGCCGGACGAGCTGGGTGCTCAGTACCGTCCTCAGTTGGTGGGGGAGCGCTTGGGGGTTTATTGCGCCGCGGCGGCTGGCGTCCGGGAGATCCGGACGCATCCCGTCCCGCGCAGGCACGCACGAGGTAGCGTCCTGAGTTTGCCGCTCTGGCGACGGGAACAGCAGCAGCCGCGGGCCACCTACAGAACCGCGTGTGCAAGCCGGGCGGGCGGGCTGGCCCCGGATGGCGTCTCGTAGATCGGTAGTGGATCCAGAAAAGCTGCCTTGATGCGGGCGACAGAGACAACTTCCTCTTTGTCCTTGTGCCGGATGGTCACTGTTTTAGATGACCGCCTGCACACGTGGAATGGGCTGTCGTAGGGCGGCTCTAGCGGTGAGTGTGAGGCGTCTCTCCGGACGAAAACATGGGTGCAGTCCGGGAGTTCTTCGGAAATGAAAGCGTTCTTCGATGACTGCTGGCGTGGCTGCACCGGGCGGAGTTGCCGCATGGCTCGCCGGAGGAGGTCGACTTACGACGCCGGGTCCAGCGGTACCTTGCAGGGTTGGTGACTGAGGAACTCCCCTGGGAGCCGGAGTGTTGTACCGTAAACGAGCTCCGCAGACGTGCAACCCAGATCCTCTTTTAGAACTGAATGCACGCCCAGCAGAACCAGTGGTAGGAGATCGGTCCAACAAGTGGCCGCATCTGCCGCCCGCAGAGCTGTCCTCAGCTGTCGATGGAACCTCTCCACCATGCCGTTACTCTGCGGGTGGTAGCTGGTGGTGCGATGCCTAGTGCAGCCAAGAGGCGCCGACAGTTGCTACCACAGAGCGGACTCAAACTGGGCACCGCGTTCGGTGTGACCTGTGCCGGCACTCCAAACCGAGCCACCCAGTCGGCGACGAGGGCGCGGGCGATGGTGACCGCCCGGATGTCCGCAACAGGGATAGCTTCCACCCAGCGGGTGAACCGGTCGATGCACGTAAGGAGGTACGTGTGACCATCCGACGGGGGCAGTGGGCCGACAATGTCGATGTGGACGGCGTCAAATCGAGCGTCCGGTAGCGTGAAGCCATATGTTGGTGCCCGTGTGTGCCGATGAATCTTTGCCCGTTGACACGAGGTGCACGCTCATGTCCACTCCTCGATGTCTCGGCGCATAGAAGGCCACACAAAACGCTGGGAGGCGAGTTCTTGTGTGCCCAGCGGGGGCCGCGGTGCCTGCAGCATGGCGATCTTCCGTGAAAGTGTGTCAGCCACAGTGTTCTCCTTCCCTGGTACGTGCCTGACGTCAGTGGAGCCATGCCCGATGAAGTCGAGGTGCCGGAGCTCCCTGGGCGAGTAACGGTCAGAGTTTGACCCGATCACGGACACCAGGGGCTTGTGATCCGTGAAGGCGGCAAAGTTCCGACCATCGACGCTGTGCCGGAAGTGCCAGATCGCCAGGTGCACGGCAAGGAGTTCTCGGCCGAAGGTGCTGTGCCGGAAGTGCCGGATCGCCAGGTACACGGCAAGGAGTTCTCGGCCGAAGGTGCTGTGCCGGAAGTGCCAGATCGCCAGGTACACGGCAAGGAGTCCTCGGCCGAAGGTGCTGTGCCGGAAGTGCCAGATCGCCAGGTACACGGCAAGGAGTTCTCGGCCGAAGGTGCTGTGTCGGAAGCGCCGGATCGTCAGGTACACGGCAAGGAGTTCTCGGCCGAAGGTGCTGTGCCGGAAGCGCCGGATCGTCAGGTACACGGCAAGGAGTTCTCGGCCGAAGGTGCTGTGCCGGAAGTGCCAGATCGCCAGGTACACGGCAAGGAGTTCTCGGCCGAAGGTGCTGTGCCGGAAGCGCCGGATCGCCAGGTGCACGGCAAGGAGTTCTCGGCCGAAGGTGCCGTGTCGGAAGCGCCGGATCGTCAGGTACACGGCAAGGAGTTCTCGGCCGAAGGTGCTGTACCGAGTCTCCGCCGGCTTGGGGCTCTTCGAGAAGAACGGCAGCGGCTCCCAACGGCCAGCGACGAACTGCTGGAGAACCGCTCCGACGCCAGTGTCTGAAGCGTCGACCTGCAGACTTAGGAGTGCACCCGGCGTAGGGTAGCCTGCGCCAACTGCTGCTTAACCGGACGAAACACTTGCCCAGCGTCGGCGGACCAGATGATGGGGCGGTGGCTCTTCGAAGCTTTCTTGCTGAGCAGACTGGTGAGTAGGGCCAGTATAGCTGCGGCGTCGGGCATAAAACGATGATAATACGCCACCACTCCGGTGAAACGCCGAGCTGCTTCTCCGTAGTTGGTTACGGAAATCCTACACCGCAGGTAGTTTGTCTGGAAGGGTGGGGGGGGGGGGGGGGACGATGCCGAGCTCAGTGACTTCATGGCCAAGGAACTGAACTTTCCCGGTCCCGAACACACATTTCTTTTCATTAATGACCAGCCCGAACTTGTCGAGTCGTTCGAGGACCATTTGAAGGTGTTTGAGATGTTCATGCTCCGAGTTGCTGGCAACCAAAATGTCGTCCAAGTAGACAAATGTCCCTGGCACTCCATGCAGCACTTCATCCGTGAATCGTTGGAGGGTTTGGCTGGCATTACGCAGACCGAATGGCAATCGGATACAGGAGCGTGAATACGGCTCCAGGGGCACATGGCTTCCGAGATCTGGAGCTTTTACCAGGCATGGTGCCTTAGAGCTGACGTCGTTTGCATTTGCACTGTGCTGTTCAGCTGTTCGGTGTCGGGGGAGCGATTAGCGCGCGGGGGGGGGGGGAACGGGC